TTTGTGGGGGAACGAAATCGATTACAAGCCCCACTGTTGACATACGTGATTTTGGCACATCATTAGTCACTCTGATGACGCTGGGTGATTCTGGTCGATGCTTCTTTGGGAATGTGTCACCCCCTGTCTCTGATTTTGCATAGCGCTAACACTTTACCTGAGATTTCTTCCCGTGAACTTGGGGCAGACGGAGTCACGCTTCAGTTCAGATTTTTATAGCGGTCGGCTCATCAGCGCTCCCCGATCTATTCCTACTTGCCCCACCCACTGTAGAAAGCTCCGCGCACTGTGTGAAGCCCCGCCCATTTTCGTGAACTTCCTCAAGTTGTAAGCCAGCAAGCAGTGCAGAGTTTAGCTCAGCCCTCGTGGCAAACCTTGTCTAGTTTTTTGTTCCGAGTGAGATGTAGTTCAGGCGCACAAACCCCCGCGGAGCTCTCCTCACGGCTTGGATAAAAGTCCAACGCGCAGTTCGGCGACGGGGTGGGAGGGGAGGCATTTTGCGTTTTCACTGCTTCACTACTCCCATTTTACAAGTCTCCCTTTACAAGTCTCACTCTGGTGAAAATTGTGAACTTTTGTGAAGCTGGGGTAAGCTACGTCGTAAAAACGTGTCAACTCAAGGAAATGGTCGGCACATCGATGGGAAGCAAAATGCCCCTCCCCATGCCGAACTGCATCAACGTCCAATCCCCATCCTCTGTTCCATATAAGAATCAGCACCCGAAATGACTGTGTCATTGGGTTGGGCTTCCAGAAGGTTTTCAGAATAAAAGTGTTTTCTTCGGAAAATATTTTTCGCCTTTGGTGTCCTGGTCCTCTGATCAGAAATTCCACAAATATAGCAAACAAGATTTCAAAAAAAAATGAATAGAAAAAATCATCCTCTCTTCCACAGTTCTCGAGGGAAATTCGATATTCTTCAAGGTCACATTCTTGTCTATGGAAAGTGCCATCAAGTACACCAGTATGGGTTCGTACCGATCAATTCTCATGTCGACTTATGACAGGTAAGGGAGGCGTCCACTGGGTGAGGTATTCGTCCGAACCACCGAATCATAATGTTTTCATAAAAACCCTTCTGTGTTTGAAAATATAGAAGAGCCGTGTTCTGAGTAAGAATGCAAATCCTCTGGATTTGTCATTAACATTGCGGCTTTCCGGTTGTTGACTCTTTTGTGTGATTTTTCCTGTTCCTGTTTCATGTGCACTATATACCCCTCACCCCCACCCCGCTCGACAGCAAAATTTTAGGGAAAAATTAGGAAAATTTCCAGGAAATTGGAAAAAATGGTAGGAAATTGAGGAGCTTCTCCCGCTCCACATTAGCTGCGTACCCCCCCCCCACCCCGCTCGACGGAAAATGGTTGGGACTGGAAACTGTGGTGGGGAATTGGTGGGTAGGTGCTGAGGAAAGGGGAGGTCGTACCAGAACTCACTCATTTAGGTGGGTGGGGTGTACTGATAACCTCTGTCGAGGTGGGGTTGGAATTAACACACACTACCTCACACATCCCTCGATCTGTACCCTTGGTTGAGGGAGGGACAACTCGCGGGATATCGAAGCGCTAGGAGATTGCCAGTTGTTACTGAATGCAGACTATGCTTTACGCGTAAGCCTATGCTAAGGAGGAGGGGGACACTATCATATCAAGAGAGGTCTCTCCACATGCACGTATCGCTAATCGCTATTTCAATTTTCGGAGGATTGCTTTATCTGTGAGCAAGTTGCCTGAACGTATTTGACAATTGTCATAGGTAAAAATAACGCATAGATGAATTACACACCAGCAAAATGAAACTCACGAACTTGTCAACGGACGCGCACTGTTATCTGGTCGCAATGGTTTACTACACAAGAGACAATTATCTGGCGTACGAGAAGCTTGACGCCCGCTGTCGCATAAATATCGCTCTTAAATTCAGTCGGTATTTTTCATATTACCATAATAGACTATATTGCTGTGATTTAGATTTAATGTTTTCATAGTTGTAGCCACATTGTACGACTGTTGCTTGATCTGCAGTTCGATTGTGTGAATGAACTCGATGTGACAAGAAATTTGGCCCTTCTCGTAATAATTTGACCAGTTGAATTCTGTTTTGGAAATTGATTGTCCGGATTTGAAGTCTATATGGATGCAAATATTGTAGAAAATAAACTCCAAGCTCTGAAGGATCCTGGAAAAGCAACCGCTAAGCAGTTTTTGAGCGACATCGCCACTTATAGGGACCACCAGGTATAGCTTTCGTTACGATCAGCGAGAACAAACGACAAAACATGTATAGTTATTCAATTGTGCGAGATTACGGGCCGGCCCATTAGATTTTTGCTGTCCCAACTTATTCCCGTGGTTCTACGCACCTGCAAAGGATTAGCACATATGCCATTTGAGGGTATCCATCTAGTTTGATTTAGATGGAAAATACTCTACTAGTGTTTGCGATTGTTATTGTTTGCTTGTTCCAAGCGTGTTTAATTTAATTGCTTTAGCTCTTCAAGTTAATCACTGCGGATTCGCCTGGTGTCACGGGTTTTGACGACGATTTTGCTGACGTTGTAATCACACCCAGCTATTTGAGAAGAGTTCTCGCTCCACAAACCTGTGCTATCAGTAAGCAAGAGCTCGTCCATCTGGTGAAAAGCGACCACATTCAGGTAGGTAACTGCACGAGCAGAAACTATTATGCATGTCTCCGAGCTTACTGTGACGAATGGCAACCTGCCAAGTGCGCTTTATTCATCTGTTGCAATGTAGTCTTTTACTTACATCACATTTTTGTGAAGGATTTCCATATGTCGGCCCGTGCTGCGCATTGAAACAGGGCGCGTCGTGGATCCCCAGCGAAGGGGGGGGGGAATCATAGTGACTATGGGTGTTTTCGATTACTTTCTCTCTCGCAAGTGCACTATTTCATCCGCTCGCCCCACCCACCTCCCCCGCGCACGACTGCAATTTTTGGGAACAACCGGAAAATTCAGTTTCGCGGAGGGCTGCAGAGCGCCTGAGAAAGGGGAAAGATCATCAGTCAGAAGATTCTTCCCGCGCATGTACCGCTCCTTATCTCCAGCGGCCGAATGGAACCATCCTGTGGAGAATCGCGCAACAGCGCATGCTGGCTTCAAGGTTGACGGTCATTGAGGTGGGGGGTGAGGAAACAGTGTGTTCTGAGGCATGACACGAACACCGTGTTTTTTCTCGACCTAAATGCGCTATACAGGGTGTGGGGAGGTCCATTCCATACCCCGGATATGGCGTCTCCACGTGTTCAGATGCGACCGGCAGCAACTGCGCATCCCTCATATCTGCCGATTCAGGCCACTAGAGTTGATGGCTCTCTCTCTCTCTCTCTCTCTCTCTCTCTCTCTCTCTCTCTCTCTCTCTCTCTCTCTCTCTCTCCTCTCTCTCTCTCTCTCTCTCTCTCTCTCTCTCTCTCTCTCCCTCTCCCTCTCCCTCTCCCTCTCCCTCTCCCTCTCCTCTCCCTCTCCCTCTCCCTCTCTCTCCCTCTCCCTTTCTCTCTCTCTCTCTCTCTCTCTCTCTCTCTCTTGTGCTGTCTGCTCCGCTCTCCCTTTCCCTCTTCTCGTCTCTCTCTTGTGCTGTCTTGCGGTCTCTCGTAAGCACACTTTTTTTGAGTTGATTCGGCCCGTAGGTAACGGTGTTACACAACAGACATCTACGGGATATGGACTGTGATGGTCATCGTATTAGCTGCAATTTATATCATTGAATTTCCAGAAACTACACGAAGTTGAGGACACTGGCAACGCTGATAAGGCAGAGTCGGAGGTCACCAAAGAGTTGGAGCCGGCTGTAGAACAGATAAAGGAAAAAGTCGAATAATGGCTTTACCATTAGATTTACCTGTAGTACGTGCTCATACTACTTCCTTTGGGAAATTCCAGTGATAGCGTGAATATTGTCTTTTCCAGGGTGACAATGAAGTCGACTTCGTAGAGAGAAAGTTTTTACCATTTCCTGAGTCGAATCAAATTCTCATTATTCGCAAGCACTCTTTGCCGTCTAACGGTCAGTTTTCTTGTCGGCGTTGATCTGACCGGAGTTATATTTTTCCAATTTTTCAGAGTTTACAGCTGAGTTGTCTGCTCCAATTTTCACTTGTTTGATTAACGCTTATGGCCGACTTCATTTCGTTGAAGAAAATAAAGTGGTCTGCTTGCCAAAATTGCTGTCAGAAATGGTGAGTAGTTCAGAGGTAGTGGCTTCGCAGGTTATCATCACTTTGTCTCCATCTTCTTTTTCAGTCGTTAAAACCTGGTCACTCCATTGAGCTGTCCTGTGCTGACGTATGCCTGCCAGATTCTGATGGGTGTCTAGCTATGCTCGCTACTTGGTTAGTACTTCCGGCGCTGTTCGGCTTAGGAGGGACATTTTGCTCTTTCGCTGCTTCATTTTGGGTGATTTACGCTCGAAACGAAGCAGGTCACACTTTGACGAGAACTGTATGCTTGTCAAACATGGACGAAACTTGTGCCTGCTCAGGCAGTGATAGATGGAGACCAGCAGAATACCCCTTCTTAGCCGAACTGCACCGCACTTTTCTCGAACATTCCGAAAGAAAGTTGAAAAGTTTCAGCTGGGTTGAGCTCAACGAACACTTCTGTCCTTGCCGATTTTTCGGAGCCATGTTCAAAATATCACCGACTCTTCACATCGAATTGACTCACGAGGTATAAGATATCAATAGGTTATGGAAAAATTTATTGGCACTGTTCGCTTTACTGTCCGAGCTTTCTCAAATCATTTCGTTTTTTCGTCGACTTTTTTCCCCGGAAGCCTATATGGCTAAACTGTCGCTAGGGATTCTTACCCTCGAACACGGATGTCGCTTTCGCTTGATTTGATACTCCTGGCGCCCGTGTAACGGCGACGGCACGTCGGTCTTGTTCTGACCCCGGCGGATATAATGCGCACTCCTGGCCGTTTCGTGCCAGACGTATGTTAGGGCACTTGAGGAAACAATCACAACAAGTCACACGTTTTTGATTTCATGCGATAGTGATCCTTCAATTTGCGAAGGCTTGGTAGCTGACAAGGGGGGGGGCATTATCTTGAGTTTCTCCAGCGGTAGCTCCACTGGTGCCCAGTGCAGTTGTGATATTCGCGTACAGTACGCCAGACTACCCCTGGAGTAAGCTTTCTGCGAATTTAGTGGTTTAGAGTATTCGCGCCGGCACCTATGGCATGGACGCCGGGCTGTCTCAAGCCGAGCGGATATGATAATCGTTTTCAGCGGTCTGACTACATCTGAGA